TCCAAACAAATCGACGTTTAAATTCGTAGCTACAAAAGTAGATCTACTTTTTTACATATTTACAAATATAACAAAAAAAAAATGAAGATAGTTTTTTTTACACGTTTTCACATGTAAAACGAAAAAAAAAGATCAACATTTTTTTTACATACTTTCAGATGTTGAAAAAACGTATACAGTGGACCCTCGACTAACGCTATTAATCCGTTCCTGAGAGCTCATCGTTAGTCAAAATTATCGTTAGTCAAGTTAATTTTCCCCATAAGAAATAATGGAAATCAAATTAATCCGTGTAGGACACCCCAAAGTATGAAAAAAAAAATTGTTTTTACCACATGAAATATTAATTTTAATACACACAAACTGAAGAAGACATGCACAGTTACATGACACTTACCTTTATTGAAGATCTGGTGATGATTGATGGGATGGGAGGAGGGGAGAGGTGTTAGTGTTTAGAAGGGGAATCCCCTTCCATTAGGACTTGAGGTGGCAAGTCCTTTTCCGGGGTTACTTCCCTTCCCTTTAAATTTCTCAAACCAACCTTTGCTGGCCTTAAATTCACTCACATCACCACTAGTTGCTGGCATTTTTTTAATTAAATCGTCATGCAACTTCCTAGCCTTTTCACATATGATCGCTTGAGAGATGCTATCTCCTGCTATCTGTTTTTCGTTTACCCACACCAATAACAGTCTCTCAACATCTTCGAGTACTTGCGATCTCAGTTTCGGAAACATAGTTGCACCTTTGGCAAGAACAGCTTCCTTGATTGCCGTTTTCTTGGCCACAATAGTAGCGATGGATGATTGGGGTTTTGTGTACAACCTGGCCAGCTCGGAGACACGCACTCCACTTCCATACTTAGCAATGATCTCTTTCTTCATATCCATAGTAATTCTCACCCTTTTTGCTGTAGGGTTGGCACTAGAAGTTTTCTTGGGGCCCATGGTGACTTATTTTGCAGGTGCAATCACTAAAAAGGCTGTGATAATATGAAATGTTCCGATTGTATGCTTGGAAGCGACTGTGGTGGCTGGCTGGCTTGTAAACACTGGCCAGAAGTGGACGCGTCTCAGATGGAACTAATAGTGTTGGTCGAGTTTTTTAGCGCTAGTCGAGGCAAAAATTTTGCGTTAAAATGTATCGCTAGTCGGATTTATCGTTAATCGATGCCATCGTTGGTCGAGGGTCCACTGTATATACGTTTGGACCATTTAAGGGTTAAAAAAATAAAAAAAACTTTTAATACAAATTAATATAAATTTATTGGATAAAAAATTGAATTTTCCATAAAACACTTCAAAGAAAAAAAAAAAAGATCTCGGGGCATCACTGACTTTTATTTATGAGGGAACAATGACTCACATCAACTCGAGAACTGAGGACGGCCGTCCAACGAACAGAGTCGGGTCGGAATGGTCCACTATCAACGATGAAAAACCATTATTTTTGCACCTGGCCAAAAATGATTTCTACAGACTGATATTTTTCAGTAAAAAATTATGTAAAAACAAAGACAGTTTAAATTCATATCTATAATGTCTATTGTATCTGTTGTTTATTGTATCTGTTGTCTATTGTATCTGTTGTCTATTGTATCTGTTGTCTATTGTATTTATAATGTCTTTTATATGTTTTGTCTATTGTATCTATAACATCCATTGTATCTGTTGTCTATTGTATCTGCAATGTTCTTGACAGTTGCAACAGGACTCATAGACACAACACGAGGCACAAAAATCTCTACGACATTCCCTGTGTCAGGCTAAATCTTTCCAAATACTCATTGTACATAAAATGGCCCAAAATCTGGAACTCTCTGCCAGAAATCTCCAGAACCACTGACGCAGCATTTTTAAAACTACAGTTAAAAAACAGCTTGTCTCCTTAACCTATCCCAGCCGATCATAAATACACGTGTAAAAACTATACATGCATTTGTTCAATATCATGAACGTAGGTAAAACATTATAATCAATACAGTGGACCCCCGCTTTACGATCACCTCCCAATGCGACCAATTATGTAAGTGTATTTATGTAAGTGCGTTTGTACGTGTATGTTTGGGGGTCTGAAATGGACTAATCTAATTCACAATATTCCTTATGGGAACAAATTCGGTCGGTACTGGCACCTGAACATACTTCTGGAATGAAAAAATATCGTTAACTGGGGGTCCACTGTATTTGCATAATACTTAAATATACATTCATTATATACTCATTAAATCAATTTTATTTGTATACATTTGATGACCTTGTATACGTATGTATAATAAACTCAAATTAAGTCGCAATTAACAATCAAATAAATGGAAGGGTTGACGAGGGGCTTGAACTACAGTCCATAAATTGACAGTCCGACACCCTGCCATCTCGACAGTGCCACGTGGCCTGGTGGCTAAAGCTCTCGCTTCACACGGCGAGGGTCTGGGCTCGATTCTCAGTGAGGGTAGAAAGACTGGGCGTGTTTCTTTACACACCAGTCAACTAACACCCAGGTACTACCTGGGTGTTATTTGACTGGTGTCGGTCGCATCCTGGGACAAAACTGACCTAATTTGCGGGAAATGCTCAGCATAGCAAGGGGTTTTCTATATAGTAGTATGTCACTGATGTCAGCTATGGTCTGTATACCTTGCACATGTACTTGTAGAAAATAAGCATAATATAATATGATTATTACAGCCTCTCCTCACTTAGCGACATACTCGTTTACCGACGCCTTGGACTTATGATGGGGTCTCTGACCAGTATTCATACCTATATAATGTATAATACAGCTGATTTTTATTCTGTTAATTTCAATATACACTACACTAATGTATAAACATTTAAAAATATATCAGAAATGTTATAAACGGTACAAAGGTGACATAAAAACAATATCGGTAGCACACTCAGCTCACACAGTGAGGTCTGGAGTTTGAATCTCCTCCGGTATGGCTGGAAAACATTAGGGATGCGTTTCCATAAAACACCTGTCCCTGTTCATCCATCAGTTTAAAATGGGTTCCTGGGTGTTAATGGACTGGTGTGGGTCGCATCCTGGGGACAAATTTAACCAAATTTCCAGGAAATGCTCAGCATAACAAGGGGCTTTCTATATAGCAGTATGTCATTGATGTCAGCTATGGTCTGTATACCTTATACAGTGGAACCTCAAAAATCGAACTGCTCCCAACACGACCAATTATGTAAGTGTATTTTTGTAAGTGCTTTTATAAGTGTATTTTTGAGGGTCTGAAATGGACTAATCTAATTTACATTATTCCTGATGGGAATAAATTAATTTGGTAAAGGCACTCGAACAGCCTTCTGGGCCGAAGAAAGTTCGATATTTGAGGTTCCACTGTACATGTCTCACAAAATCGTAATGACATGATTGCAAACAAACCATACCGCGGTCACAAAGGCTAACGCGACAGTCTGGAGTTTTGAGACTCTCTGACCTCGGGTTCAAACCCCACCCGTGGTATGATTTACCTTGTACACGTACTTGTAGTAAATATATTATTATTATAATATCCTAGACGGTACAGCATCGGACAGTCAATTTACAGACCTCGGTTCAGGCCCCTCGATAAGATAAGATAAGATAAGATTTCGTTCGGATTTTTAACCCCGGAGGGTTAGCCACCCAGGATAACCCAAGAAAGTCAGTGCGTCATCGAGGACTGTCTAACTTATTTCCATTGGGGTCCTTAATCTTGTCCCCCAGGATGCGACCCACACCAGTCGACTAACACCCAGGTACCTATTTGCTGCTAGGTGAACAGGACAACAGGTGTAAGGAAACGTGTCGAAATGTTTCCACCCGCCGGGAATCGAACCCGGGCCCTCCGTGTGTGAAGCGGGAGCTTTAGCCACCAGGCCACCGGGCCACCGGGCCAATGTTTATCGCCTTCGTAGTCTTAAGTTAGAAATACTCTGTATATCCATGTATTATGTGCGAATAAATTTTGAATTAGAAATTAGAGCTGAATTCGAATTTATCAGCATTGTATAAAGCTTATCTTAGCCTCGGATAATTCTATATATCACTGTTATGTTTAAAGTTGTATATGGTGTATTACCCAGGTTGTTGTATATAGTGTATTATCCAGGTTATGATGTATAGTATGTTGTATTATTTAGATTAATTTGTATAAGTTGTATTATAAATCATAAAGACTGACATACAAATCATATAAATCCTGTAAATTGTGGCAATATATACACAGTTCAATATATATATATATATATATATATATATATATATATATAATATATATATTATATATATATATTATATATATATATATTAATATATATATTATATATATCATACAAATCCCAACTACAAATCATATAAATTCCATCATGTGGGAGAAATAGGCCTATAAAAATCCCTTATGGAAATACAAAACCCATAATACAAATCCCTTCATATACATCACAAAACCATCAAAATCCCCCATAAATCATACAAATCCCACCACAGTAATTATATAAATCCCCGTATAATAAATCACACAGAAACCCACAAATACAAATCATATAAAAAAATCCTTCTATACACATCACAAAACCATCAAAATCCCCCACAAATCCTCCACAATATATAAATAAAACATATAAATCCCCGTAATATAAATCCAACAAAAACCCACAATACAAATCATATAAACAACCCCTCAGTACACTCAAAATCCCCCAAAATCCCCCACAAATCCCCCACAATATATAAATAAAACATATAAATCCCCGTATATAAATCACACAGAAACCCACAATACAAATCATATAAACAGACCCCTCATACACACCACAAATCCCCACAAATCCCCCACAAATTCCCCCCACAAATCCCCCACAATATATAAATAAGACATAAATCCCCGTAATATAAATCACACAGAAACCCACAATACAAATCATATAAACAGACCCCTCATACACACCACAAATCCCCCCACAAATCCCCCACAAATCCCCCACAAATCCCCCAACACTGACCTCACACCCGTCTTCCTCCCTCACAAAAATCAACATAAATCGAGTGTTGGAGGTGGTGTTGGAGGACCATATGTTGGAGTACGGTGGAGTGATGGAGTGGCAGCAGCAGGATGGAGTAACAGCCTCCAGCAGCCAGTCAATGACTCGTAAATAAGAGAAAACTGGAGCCTCTTTCAGCCGCCATTGAAAACGAGAGGAAATTCTAGCCCGGTTGTCTTAACTATATATAAATTACTATATACATCGATGTCTGGGTTGATATATATATTCTTTCCTTGTTTTATGGCTTCAGGAATTTATATACATTAGTTTGGGCTTGTTTTAGTCACTCTAAATTGATTTATATGAGGTTTAAAGCCACAAAATGTATATTTTGGGTCATATTTTGGGAAATATACATTTATATATAAATTTTACCATGTATTCTGGGTTAAAAAATTTATATAAATGAATTTTGTCTTATTTAAGACACTCTAAATCGATTTATATGAGGATTATAGCCATAAAATATACATTTTGGGTCATTTTGGGGAAATATACATTTATATATACATTTTACTGTATGTTCTGGCTTAAAGAATTTATATAAATGACTTTTGTCTTATTTAAGACACTCTAAATCGATTTATATGAGGTTTATAGCCATAAAATATACATTTTGGGTCATATTTTGGGGAAATATACATTTATATATACATTTTACAATGTATTCTGGGTTAAAGAATATATATAAATTAATTTGGACTTGTTATAAACACTCTAAGTCAATTTATATCAGATTTATGACCCCAAAATACACATTTTGGGTCATATTTCAATAATATATAAATTTTTATATACATTTTCCCATGAATTTGTATTAAAGAAATGTATATAAATTATTTCTGTCTCAATTACAACAATTTATATATAAATTACACCCTTAAACATTTATATAACCTAGTAGTAAGTAGGTACCTGGGTGTTAGTTACCTTACACCTGCTGTCAGTGTTCACCTAGCAGTAAGTAGGTACCTTGGTGTTAGTTACCTTACACCTGCTGTCAGTGTTCACCTAGCAGTAAGTAGGTACCTGGGTGTTAGTTACCTTACATCTGCTGTCAGTGTTCACCTAACAGTAAGTAGGTACCTGGGTGTTAGTTACCATACACCAGCTGTCAGTGTTCACCTAGCAGTAAGTAGGTACCTGGGTGTTAGTTACCATACACCAGCTGTCAGTGTTCACCTAGCAGTAAGTAGGTACCTGGGTGTTAGTTACCTTACACCTGCTGTCAGTGTTCACCTAGCAGTAAGTAGGTACCTGGGTGTTAGTTACCTTACACCTGCTGTCAGTGTTCACCTAGCAGTAAGTAGGTACCTGGGTGTTAGTTACCTTACATCTGCTGTCAGTGTTCACCTAGCAGTAAGTAGGTACCTGGGTGTTAGTTACCTTACACCTGCTGTCAGTGTTCACCTAGCAGTAAGTAGGTACCTGGGTGTTAGTTACCTTACACCTGCTGTCACTGTTCACCTAGCAGTAAGTAGGTACCTGGGTGTTAGTTAACTTACACCTGCTGTCACTGTTCACCTAGCAGTAAGTAGGTACCTGGATGTTAGTTAACTTACACCTGCTGTCAGTGTTCACCTAGCAGTAAGTAGGTACCTGGATGTTAGTTACCTTACACTTGCTGTCAGAGTTCACCTAGCAGTAAGTAGGTACCTGGGTGTTAGTTACCTTACATCTGCTGTCAGTGTTCACCTAGCAGTAAGTAGGTACCTGGGTGTTAGTCACCTTACACCTGCTGTCAGTGTTCACCTACCAGTAAGTAGGTACCTGGATGTTAGTTACCTTACACCTGCTGTCAGTGTTCATCTAGTAGTAAGTAGGTACCTGGATGTTAGTTACCTTACACCTGCTGTCAGTGTTCTCCTAGCAGTAAGTAGGTACCTGGGTGTTAGTTACCTTACACCTGCTGTCAGTGTTCACCTAGCAGTAAGTAGGTACCTGGGTGTTAGTTACCTTACACCTGCTGTCAGTGTTCATCTAGTAGTAAGTAGGTACCTGGATGTTAGTTACCTTACACCTGCTGTCACTGTTCACCTAGCAGTAAGTAGGTACCTGGGTGTTAGTTAACTTACACCTGCTGTCACTGTTCACCTAGCAGTAAGTAGGTACCTGGATGTTAGTTACCTTACACCTGCTGTCAGTGTTCACCTAGCAGTAAGTAGGTACCTGGATGTTAGTTACCTTACACCTGCTGTCAGTGTTCACCTAGCAGTAAGTAGGTACCTGGGTGTTAGTTACCTTACACCTGCTGTCAGTGTTCACCTAGCAGTAAGTAGGTACCTGGGTGTTAGTCGCCTTACACCTGCTGTCAGTGTTCACCTAGCAGTAAGTAGGTACCTGGATGTTAGTTACCTTACACCTGCTGTCAGTGTTCATCTAGTAGTAAGTAGGTACCTGGATGTTAGTTACCTTACACCTGCTGTCAGTGTTCTCCTAGTAGTAAGTAGGTACCTGGGTGTTAGTTACCTTACACCTGCTGTCACTGTTCACCTAGCAGTAAGTAGGTACCTGGGTGTTAGTTACCTTACACCTGCTGTCAGTGTTCATCTAGTAGTAAGTAGGTACCTGGATGTTAGTTACCTTACACCTGCTGTCAGTGTTCACCTGGCAGTAAGTAGGTACCTGGGTGTTAGTTACCTTACACCTGCTGTCAGTGTTCACCTAGCAGTAAGTAGGTACCTGGGTGTTAGTTACCTTACACTTGCTGTCAGTGTTCACCTAGCAGTAAGTAGGTACCTGGGTGTTAGTTACCTTACACCTGCTGTCAGTGTTCACCTAGCAGTAAGTAGGTACCTGGGTGTTAGTTACCTTACACCTGCTGTCAGTGTTCACCTAGCAGTAAGTAGGTACATGGGTGTTAGTTACCTTACACCTGCTGTCACGGTTCACCTAGCAGTAAGTAGGTACCTGGGTGTTAGCTACCTTACACATGCTGTCAGTGTTCACCTAGCAGTAAGTAGGTACCTGGGTGTTAGCTACCTTACACCTGCTGTCAGTGTTCACCTAGTAGTAAGTAGGTACCTGGGTGTTAGCTACCTTACACCTGCTGTCAGTGTTCACTTAGTAGTAAGTAGGTACCTGGGTGTTAGCTACCTTACATCTGCTGTCACTGTTCACCTAGCAGTAAGTAGGTACCTGCGTGTTAGCTACCTTACACCTGCTGTCAGTGTTCACCTAGTAGTAAGTAGGTACCTGGGTGTTAGTTACCTTACACCTGCTGTCAGTGTTCACTTAGCAGTAAGTAGGTACCTGGGTGTTAGTAATCTTATATCTGCTGTCAGTGTTCACCTAGCAATAAGTAGGTACCTGGGTGTTAGTTACCTTACATCTGCTGTCAGTGTTCACCTAGCAGTAAGTAGGTACCTGGGTGTTAGTCACCTTACACCTGCTGTCACGGTTCACCTAGCAGTAAGTAGGTACCTGGGTGTTAGTCACCTTACACCTGCTGTCACGGTTCACCTAGCAGTAAGTAGGTACCTGGGTGTTAGTTACCTTACACCTGCTGTCACTGTTCACCTAGCAGTAAGTAGGTACCTGGGTGTTAGTTGCCTTACAACTGCTGTCAGTGTTCACCTAGCAGTAAGTAGGTACCTGGGTGTTAGTTACCTTACACCTGCTGTCAGTGTTCACCTAGCAGTAAGTAGGTACCTGGGTGTTAGTTACCTTACACTTGCTGTCAGTGTTCACCTAGCAGTAAGTAGGTACCTGGGTGTTAGTTACCTTACACCTGCTGTCAGTGTTCACCTAGCAGTAAGTAGGTACCTGGGTGTTAGTTACCTTACACCTGCTGTCAGTGTTCACCTAGCAGTAAGTAGGTACCTGGGTGTTAGTTACCTTACACCTGCTGTCAGTGTTCACCTAGCAGTAAGTAGGTACCTGGGTGTTAGCTACCTTACACATGCTGTCAGTGTTCACCTAGCAGTAAGTAGGTACCTGGGTGTTAGCTACCTTACACCTGCTGTCAGTGTTCACCTAGTAGTAAGTAGGTACCTGGGTGTTAGCTACCTTACACCTGCTGTCAGTGTTCACTTAGTAGTAAGTAGGTACCTGGGTGTTAGCTACCTTACATCTGCTGTCACTGTTCACCTAGCAGTAAGTAGGTACCTGCGTGTTAGCTACCTTACACCTGCTGTCAGTGTTCACCTAGTAGTAAGTAGGTACCTGGGTGTTAGTTACCTTACACCTGCTGTCAGTGTTCACTTAGCAGTAAGTAGGTACCTGGGTGTTAGTAATCTTATATCTGCTGTCAGTGTTCACCTAGCAATAAGTAGGTACCTGGGTGTTAGTTACCTTACATCTGCTGTCAGTGTTCACCTAGCAGTAAGTAGGTACCTGGGTGTTAGTTACCTTACACCTGCTGTCACGGTTCACCTAGCAGTAAGTAGGTACCTGGGTGTTAGTTACCTTACACCTGCTGTCACTGTTCAACCTAGCAGTAGTAGGTAACTGGGGTGTTAGTTACCTTACAACTGCTGTCATTGTTCACCTAGCAGTAAGTAGGTACCTGGGTGTTAGTTACCTTACACCTGCTGTCACTGTTCACCTATCAGTAAGTAGGTACCTGGGTGTTAGTTACCTTACACCTGCTGTCAGAGTTCACCTAGTAGTAAGTAGGTACCTGGGTGTTAGTTACCTTACATCTGCTGTCAGTGTTCACCTAGCAGTAAGTAGGTACCTGGGTGTTAGTTATCTTACACCTGCTGTGAGAGTTCACCTAGCAGTAAGTAGGTACCTGGGTGTTAGTTACCTTACATCTGCTGTCAGTGTTCACCTAGCAGTAAGTAGGTACCTGGGTGTTAGTCACCTTACACCTGCTGTCAGTATTCACCTAGCAGTAAGTAGATACCTGGGTGTTAGGTGACGTGTGTGGGTGGCATCCTAGGTACTATTGGTAGAATGGCCACAAATGTCATACCCCAGGAATCCCTCAATACCCCAGGAATCCCTCAATACCCCAGGAATCCCTCAATACCCCAGGAATCCCTCAATACCCCAGGAATCCCCCAATACCCCAGGAATCCCACAATACTCCAGGAATCCCCCAATACCCCAGGAATCCCTCAATATTCCAGGAATCCCCCAATACTCCAGGAATCCCCCAATACTCCAGAGGG